TTAACAGTGCACCTCAAATGCAGCAGATGCCACTGGGCGTTTGAATCCACCATTCACTTGTGGTGGGACTGTCCGTCCTCTGACAAAATTTGGAAATGGTGGATTTCCCACTGGAATTGTATTTCAGGTCCTAAGTTTGTATGGACCAAGGAATGGACCTTGTTGGGAGGGATACCGGACAACTGTGCGAAGTCCTCAGGTTGGGGCTATGTAGCCCAGGTGTGTCGTGCTATTGTCTTTTCAGTCATTTGGATGTGCCGTAATGATAGAGTCTTCAATGATAATGAATGGTCGAATAAGCAGATTAGAGCATCAGTGTCTCAGTTGCTGCACCGCTCCATTCAAGCTCAAATTTTGCAGAGCATGGTCTTCAATGGTTCTTAACTACCTGGTGCTTAGTCAATTCATCAGCAACAATTGACTATGATCATAGATTGGTATTGGATCCATGGATTTTACTTCGAACTGGCAACTCACTGTGTTGACCGTTGGGGTCTACGCTGTAGGTAATAATGCTTTAGATTAGCTATAAGATTAGTAAGTTGTTTCTTTTGGCTGGTTTTTTGTGTCCCTTCTTACTTCGTTCTGTTGGTGGGGTTCCATGTTTTAGTATTTTAGTTATAATTTCTAGCCACAGAAGGCTGGCAGAAGGCTGGCAGAAGGCTGGCAGAAGGCTGGCAGAAGGTTGTGTAGACCAACCTGGACTGCTCGGTTGCTTTTTTAGCCACAGGAGGCTGACAGAAGGGTTTTTGTGACTCGTGGAGGGAGCGTCCCTGGCTTTTAGGGATCTTTTATAGACCCCTAGTCCACCTTTTTAGGTGGAGATGTAGGTTTGTAGGAGCGTAGGGAGTAGACAGTTTTGTCTTTTTGGTTCGTGTGGCTTTCTGGGCCGTGTGGCTTCCTTCTTTTGTAGGGATGGGCCATGTAGTCAGGGCAGCGGTCTTGCTTTTTTTTTTTTTTTTTTTTTAATCAGAGAAGAAAGTCCTCCGGTGTGGTGAAAGGGGGCAGGCAAGGGAGTCAGGCCGGGGCCATGGTTAATCACCTTCACTGCGATAACTGGCGCTGCTGTGGCGAGGGAACCGCTTACCGAGTCTACTGAAACTGCGGAGCGCGAGGTTCAGCCTACGGCGCAGGCCACGAGGGCAACTACCCTCATCGTCCTGAGGGAATACTAACACACCAGGACTCTCCTGTTTCCCGGGGCTGGGTCCCACTTGCACGAATTAAGCGAGATTGACCGGAGATAACAAAGATCAACGTCCAGATTCTCGTAATTCGTGCAAGTGGGACCTTGCCCCAGTTAGATGCTCCGGAAAAGAAGATAGTCGTTCTGTTCTGTTATATAGTCGTCGTCCTCTATAACAGACAGACCTCGGTATCTGCACCGCCAATCACAACCCCGGATTGTCATCCGTACCTGGCCTGCATGTTTTCACTCAAACCTGAACACAACCCCGGATTATTATCCGCACCTGGTCTGCGTGTTTTACTACAAAACAGGTACATGTTCCGGAAGAGTCTCACAATAATGTTCTTTACATAGTCTCGCGTCTCGCGATAATGTAACCCTACGTATTATCTCACTACCGTCAGGGCTTTTTCCCGAATAGAACCCATGGTCAGTACATTCGTTGAAACTTCCCGTCCCGACTATGTAGGGATAACGACAACGACCGTATGTTCTATTCGGGCGAAGACGATAGGCACGACCGTGCGTTCCACTTGCACGGGCGAATGCAATACTCAACACTTGCTTACGTGACGTACAGTGCAAACACTGGAAACTGATACTTTTAGATATCCCGAAAGCATCTCCGCTTTCGTTGACGTCTCTTGCTTGAGATTGCCTTGAACAGAATTATGCTTTCTTTATCCATCGACTAACATGTACCATTTAGCCTGTTTGCTCATGATTTGCGGATGATTTGCGGGCGCGTCTGCGACGAAAACTGGCTCTGGCAATCACAGAAACGGAGCACGTCATACAAAGAGCGGAGGAAGCAGTATATATAAAAAAAAAGATATACAGGCGTGGCAGGGAGGGCCTAAACGACAGAGAAATAAGACAGCTTCAGGGCAACGGCGAGAAGGTAAAAAAGAGCTAATTACAGTGACAAGTCGAAGCAAAAATCAATGACCAATGACCAAAGTCATCGAGGAGGAAAACCTGACCATACATAGGCTGGCATTCCAGAAGATCAAGTCGGGGAAAAGCCAGAGTCAATGACGAAAGTGATTGAGGAGGATATATATATAAAAAAAGAAGCTCAATAGGATGTACCAGTATAACAGGCGTGGCAGGGAGGACCTAAACGACAGAGAAATAAGACAGCTTCAGGGCAACGGCGAGAAGGTAAAGAACTAATTACAGTGACAAGTCGAAGCAAAAGTCGATGACCAATGACCAAAGTCATCGAGGAAAACCTGACCATACATAGGCTGGCAAACCTGGCCATACATAGGCTGGCATTCCAGAAGATCAAGTCGGGGAAAAGCCAGAGTCAATGACGAAAGTGATTGAGGAGGGAAACCTGCCCATATATGACGAGTCTTGGCGGGATAGGCTGGCATTCCAGAATTCCAGAAGCTCCAGTCGGGGCAACACCACCAAAACGCAAAAGCAGAAGCAAGAATCACTACAGTGAACTCAACAAGAATAAAACACATTTAGAGTAACAGGCATGACAGGCTTTTCCACATTCAACTCGAGCCACTATTGCGATCGGAGCAAGCAAGAAAACAGGAAAAAAGAGGGATAAAGCAGGCAGAGTAGGGATGGAGTAAAGAGGAAGGAGGAAGAGGAAGGACAGACCATAGAACGGCGCAAGGATAGGGGAGGACGGCAGAAAAACCCAACCGACATGAGATAGAATAAAAGACCTGAATGAGAACTCATTGAGGAGCTCCATTTGTAGGTGAAGTCAAGCGGACCTGGCAGCCAGGAAATACAAGTTCAATCATCCGCCCGTATAAAGAGAAAACTCGGGCAAAGGAGAACCGACCCGATTTCTTTGTCTCGCTTAAACTGCCTAACAGCTAGCAACACTACAGAGCGGCAAATGCTTTAGACTCGCCAAAACAGCGTCTCTCTCTCTCTCTCTCTCTCTCTCTCTCTCTCTCTCTCTCTCTCTCTCTCTCTCTCTCTCTCTCTCTCACCGCGTCTCCATGTAACCCACTCGCTCCGAAAGGCATCACCAAGCGAGCAGGCAAGAACGCACAGGAGAGCTTGCTCGGCAGTAAAATCCGTAAGAATGCTTTACATAGGAGAAGAACAAAACGCCACCATCTCAAAATAATTCAGTTCTAGCAGTCGAGGAGATGGCTAAGCTCAGGATCCGCGACAGTGGGCAAAACACCACAAGAAATCGAACGCAGGCAGCGTGCCGTGTTCCTGCCCGCACCCTAATGCTTCGACACACCACGCAACTGGCAGCAAAGACGCTTTCCCTCGAATGCTCACACGTTACTGCGCATCCGCCAAAAGTTCTACCATCGCAAAACTGGACTACGCAACGCCATAATTTATGTCCTTTCCTTTCAGAGACTCTCTCTCTCTCTCTCTCTCTCTCTCTCTCTCTC